GAAATGCGCATCCTGGATTCCACTGCTAGCCACCATCCACCAATTGTATCACATCAAAAGACGTTCGTTTTGTTTCCAATACTCCTACTTTCTTCAGACTGAGTAATAATTCAGTCATTTTTCTCTTGCGTAACCATATCTTCTTACGGTTAATAGTGACGGACAAAAAGTAATGACATGTTAGAATAAGACATATAAGCTGAATAATATTGTTGTTTTCAATTAGATATTCTTCAGGCTTTACTCTAATACAAAAACTTTTATAATACTGATTTACATAGCTTTATATATAAAACAATTCGACTAGTGACGGTGAGCTTGTGGATAAAATAATAATAAAAATGTTTTGAACGTCAGAAATAAGGGTGATTATGATGATAACAAAAGGTGATATTAAGGTTTATGCTGCTGGCGATAAGATTAAATAGGGCAGTAAAGAATGTGTACACAAAGAATTTATCAACAATATATTGCAATATTAATGAATTAATACCTCTGCCTTCTCCCCTGTTCAGTCAAACTTGGTGGGGATGGTCGCTCTTGGATGTAACGAGATGTATTTCTTGACGAACGTCCATTGCACCTAGCTTCTCAAGAGCAAGTCAACATATAAATACACATGAAATTAGACTATTGGGGTAATATTCCCATAACATTAAGGTGCAGTAGTGGACGGCTAGAGTAGTTTAGTCATACACTGACAGCTCAAAGAACGTTTTTATCAATGATCTCGTCAAACGATTTTTAAGTAACTCAGTCTTACTCACAGTGTCACCCGTAAATTCTGAGTTTAGATGAAACGCTGTTTTATCTACCTTTTCAATCTCTGTATTTCTACCAACTAATTTGCTAATGGCCTTTACGAAGCGTAGTGGTTACCTGTTCTCTATGTAGGTTTCTTTCACTTGTTTGAGTATATCATCAGCACTATCTTCACAAAAGATTCTTCACACTCATGATGAGAGGATGAATTCGATTTCTTTTCCTGTCCAATGGGGGACAAAACTGTAAGAATTAGGCAGTTAGCCTATCCACATTGACTTTCTGTAAATAGATCTTTTCAACAACCCGTCAACTCTCCTTGTGCATAGCACATCAAGAAGGGATGTTTCTCCCTCAGTTTCTTTTTCTATATATATATATATATATATATATATATATATATATATATATGATTTGATGAGGAATAATCACAGTATTTTTATTGAAAATATGACAGTTATGGAGTCTCACTTTCTAAATCACGTCATTCGAATCCCTCAATTATTCACCATTGTTTCATCAACTGATATTCATCTGCATTCATGATTTTATTAAATCTACACAAGTCCCAATTATTTTCATTTCTAATTCATTTAGAAGTTTTAAAACGGTCAGGGCATTAAACACCAGAGGCAATAAATCTAACTGAGATACTTACGATAGTCAGTTACTGCGACGTGACAAAATTTATAATCTGTCCAACGAACATCTTGCATAGGTGTTTGACTATGTTCATGTGGCTGAATACGTCGACTGAGAATATGCCTTTTTATCGAATTGTGCTTTCAGCCGCCATTTAATGTGTACATTTAAAACAGTAATAGTAAATCACTGTCGGTGGCTCGGCGGTAGAACACTAGCCAGCTACACATGTTTATGTGGTCCACACTTTGAAACCGCTAATCTGGTGGTATACCCAGTAAAGAGAGAAGATTGGGCATGGGGCTCACAATCCCTTTCCCGTAAAAACAAATACAACTATTTCTGACACTTCAAAGCTCTAGCCTGAAGTCCCACATTCCACTGAGAACGTAAAGAAATAAAAAAAAAGATTTTTTCGAAAATTATATCATTGCTTTGAAGTTTGCGTATCACCTGTTGACTTGATCCTCATTATATGTCTTTTTCCCTGTTTAATCTCTAATTTGAATGCTTCTCTTTGTGGTAGGGTGATGATATTTATTATGTGAGTAAATCAATGTCATTCTGACCTTAGACTGTATCCAAGACTTGTTGGTGTGTAATTCTTGTGGATAAAGTTTTGATCCTACCTCACTGAGAACATCCTACTTAATTATAAGGTATTTCTAAGGGGCTAAATTTAGGTTCACTAGGCTTCTTACACAGTACTTGTTTTGCACTAGGGAATTATCGATCCTATATTGCTACTAAAGCGGTATTGTCGAGGCAATGGTGAGATTTTGATATTATTATTGTTGCTGAATAGAAACGCATGGATTTTACAACGAACAACCGTCTTTTTGCAGTCTGTGGAGCGTTTTGTGACTGTGCATGTCTTAAGGAAGTTTTATAGGCCAGCTAGCTATATAGTAAAACGTAGAGATCGGTATCCTTCTTTTAGGCCAGCATAAGTCAACCCCTTTTATATTCATATTCAAGCTTGAAGGTTTCCTTGGGGTCCAGTCAGAATGCGAAGGAATATTTCTTCTTTCTATCTTAAATATTTGTTAACAGAATACTGGAATCATATTTCAACTATGTAAAACTTCATTAATTTTCAAGAGTTGTCTTGTAGAGACCTGGTTTCTTTCAAGTCTCGACCACGGATTGATTGACTGATATCCTTATGAGGACCATTGGAAACTAGTTTGGTGTGTTGAATAGTTGTTTCGTCCTAGTTTGAGGATTCATTAGCAGTATGTTCCCATAGGAGTTCAAACTGTGAACTTTCCTCGAAAAAGTCAAGCTCATGGAGTTCATTATTTTTGTTGTAAGACTAGCAACCCCCATTAAAACTAGCGGTACTGAAACTTCAAAGCTCTGGCTGGAAGACCCCCTTTGTTCCACTATGAACTTAAAAGAATAATGTAAAACAAAATAAAGAAACACTGGCAGTAATTTTACTTGCAATATTAACAAATATTAACAGTTCAAGGATAGTGAAGAAAGCTGACTTTATTGAAATTGAAGACGGCAGTTTCTTTCGTCGTTACAAAGTCATGATATGATATGATTTTGAATTGGTGACGTCCTTTGCAATGCATCAGTCATGATTGAAATTGAAAGCTAATTGATGATTCAAAATGTACTCTAAAGTTGACTGTAATCCAGAGGGATATGTCTATCCGGTTGATTTTCTTTACGGCTAAAATAGAAGTTCATTCAGGTATCTCTGTTGAGAGAGGATTGAAGACACAGTGGCACAATTCGTATTCAGAAAGGTTTCATGAATGAATGAATAAATAAATGAGAATGGATAGATAATGGGCTGAGTTGATGTCTAATACTACAAGAAAATCTGTACTCACAGCATAGTTGAGTAAGACATAAAAACCCTGAATCATATTTCAGATAAGAGTAGGAATTTTGAGATTTATATTAGATAGATAGCAAACCTACAAATCAATACTTGAATATCAACGAGGAGCTCACTGGCGACTGGCCCTTTTCAGGTTGGCAGACAGTTACTTGGGGTTATAGTGAGAAGCCGTGACTAGTAGGATGTAGCAGGTTGAAGATGAGGTTGTAACTCATCGAATAAGACATTGCGAAATGGTCACGTTACTCCAGGAATTGGCAGAAGTTACAATTCAGGCACTGACTGGCGATGGGATAGGATCCCGGTGGCTTAATGGTCTATGAGCTCGTCTTGTAACCAAAAGGTCCTGGCTCAAATCCTGGCGGTGGGTGCGTACCGCTAGAGAGTCCTAAACTAGAACGAAACAGCCGGCTGTCCAGTACTCCCTGTAGGTTTTCCAACGGTTCTTAACCAATGTCAGCTCATAATGAAATCCTATAAGCAATAACTAATCTGTCTTTATATTGATAAACTGATCAATGTGATCGCCGTAGAAGCAGTAAAAGCAGAACTAACTGCTTATCCTGAACTTACTCATAGGACAAAGCTACTCATTGAGAAAATTATTTTAACAATTCAAAATGTTCTCTCACATCTACTATCTTTAAATGCCATGATAAAACATATAACCAAACGGAAGGTGTAGCAGTAGGGTGGATCACCAATAACTCCACTCGTAGCAGATCTCTTTATGGATGGACAGCTGGGAAAATACTGCTCTTAATACATTTAATCCTACTGCAAAAATATGATGAAGATATGCGGATGACACTTTCACACACAGTGTTAAAAACAGAACATATCTCTCTCTAGCTTCTTGACACATATAAACTCACTAGTAGAGGGAATAAAATTCACATTTGAATCGGTAAATGAATTAGAATTAGCTATAATGTTAGATTGTAAAATAAAATAGAAGAAAGTAAACCGCACACTAACGTTTATAAAAAGGCAACGCATTCTGCTAATAGATATTTAGGCTTCTTCAATTCATTTCATCCGTTAACTTTTGAAGGCAGTCTTAGCTAGTTGTCCACCACACCGAGCATTGGCACTAAGTAGTACAACAAAAGACCGAATTGATGAAATAAAACAGATAGAAGAAGAGCTGGTTGGTGTTAAATAACTATCCGATGAAATTCATTAGAAAGATCAGAAAAGGTCAAATGCACAAAATTTGAAAATAAAATGGTGAAACTAATAGTCACAGCATAAATAAATAAATAAATAGTTTTACCGAATAAAGAGGGGACATCTGAGACCCTACGTAGTAGGATTCTCAAAGAAACAGGAATTAGGGTGGCATTTAAACCTACACATTCACTCAGATAGGACAAGCTGTGTAGGTTGAAGGATCCTGTTGACCCAATTAGACAAAGTGATATAATTTATACAAAACACCCTGCAATTACTGTGAGTTAAGTCAACAACTACATAGGTCAGTGCTTCAGACCAGTAGATCGGGTCTCTTTACTGAATATTGTATTCTTGATATTTCTGATAGTCTGGTGCTTTTTGTCCTGAAATCCAGATCCCCCTGTTTACTAAAATATGCTTTCTGTTGTATAAAAAAACTCATTACCTTTCAGCTACCTATACAATGTTCGGTTTACGCAGAACCAGTACTTCCAAAAATCTTCACGTCTACCTTCATATCCTAACATTATTGGTTGTTATTATTTGTGAGGCACAAGGTGAAATGTATCCATCGAAATGGAAGACTTCTGAGACTGATATCGATTATGTGCCTATGAATAGAATGATGATGAATGCCCTACTTGATAATACTGGTCATCACAATAATAATGATGATTATCGAAGGATAAGCACAAGAGAAGCAAAACTTGTTCCGCCTGAAAGACCAGCAATTTTTGAATCACCTGAAGCGCTAAGAGCATATTTACTCAAGTTGAATGAATATTTTGCAATTATTGGTCGTCCAAGGTAGGTCTTTAGTAGGAATCCCAAACTGGATTCTACTGGTTATTTGTCATTATTTTATCCTTAACTTTTAGTGCATTTAATTGTTGGTTTTCAGCGATTTGACCAGTTTCGGGCTTTCATTATGAAATGACATCGGTTAGAGGACCATTGGGAAACCACCTGATGGTACTAGACACCTGTTTCATCAGCCTAGGTTGGGACTCTTCAACAGCACGCACGAGAGGTAAAACACCGAAATTGTGATGTGGTTTTGTTCTCTGAGCTGGATGGTTAGTTTGCTAAGCTTTCATCATCCTACTGGGTGACACCTTCAGCGCATACTTCAATTTGAAGTGAGCTTTTAGATTTCTCCACGAGTTTATTAGTCATCCCTCCTGGTGACCTTGGACGTGATTGGTTGTTTATGTGTGTTTTCAGACCTTCTGGGTTACTTGTATTGGAACTGATTGTTTCTTTGACTTGAACTTTAACCCTTTGTGTGTGAAGTTTCTTTCTTATTGGTTGATAAATTTTGTCTATGTCGCTCAATGTGTCTATTGATTGATGATTCACTGGAATGCCAAGCTTCTAAAAATTCTCTAGCATTCTTGTTATTTCCTTTGTCTAATATATCAACGTTATCCCAGTCGAATTGATGTCCGTGGTTGTCTGTGTGTAGTGAAATGAGATGTCACCCAGTAGGGTGATGAAAGCTTCGCAAACTAACCATCCAGCTCAGAGAACAAAACCACATCAAAATCATCCATCTGAGCAACAAATCTTCTCTATCATATCTAAACACCGAAATTATTAGGATCATAAAGTGTGATCTGCTTGATAAATAAAATAAATAATAATTTTTCCTTCACCTTCCCAGTGGAACATAGGGCTCCAAGCTAATGGCTTGAAGTTTCTGTAGCAGTGTTTAATTTTTACAGGATGAGGTTGCTAACCTCATGCCCAACCGTTCCTTTTTACCAGCATTATTTCTGGCTCAGTGTGGTAAAGGAGTGCGCCGGCCGGGGATCGAACCCTGGACAACATGCACGGTCTGCGAGCGTCCTAACCGCTATATCACCGACGCACACTGCTCTGCACTGTACACACTGATCTGCTTAATAACCTAACTTGTAATAAAGACTAAAAACAAAAAGTTTGCCAGGAATAAAAGGTGGCTACTGGTTGGAAGAAGGGTGAAATAGGCCTCTCTATGGAATTACTGACACGAAATCATGCTGTTGTTCATGTCAAGTAAAATACTTAGTCACATTATTCTGGAGAGAATAAAGGATCCAGAACTGGATGCACAACTCCACCCGCCATAGAAACCATGACTCAGAAAGAATAAATCATGTGCGGATCAAATTGTAACTTTAGGCATCATCATCATCATCACAGAACAGAGTATAGAATGACAGTTAAATCTCTGTCTCAACTTCATCGACTTTGAAAAGGCCTTCAATAGACGGTGTCGACTAAGAAGTAATTTGGAAACTAATTTAACACTATGGCATGCAGTGCCCAGGTCTTTATCAACCTCATTTAATAACTGGCTAAATGACAAAGCCACGTGTCTGGTGATCCACAATAGGAAACTTAACAAAGCCTTTGAAGTGAGTACAGGAGCAAGACAAGGCTGCCCACTAATGCTAAAGATGATATTTGTAATTGTGTTGGATTAGATTGTGTCAGACTGTGCGCGAGGATCATAAAAACAGGAATACGCTGCACTGATCGATAAAAAGACCTTAGAAGATCCGGATTTTGTCTCTGGATGATTTACATTTAATTTCACACAAACTTGAAGACTTACATGCGAAAAGCAACAAACACAATGGCATGCAGGGCTTAAATCTTTATCAGTTTTAATCTACACCGTGGTCAGGTGTATCTGTGGTAGAATACTTGCCAACTACTCAGGTAGTGTGGGACTCACTACCCAGCTGACGCCCTCATTAACCTCACTGAGCTGATGGCAAGCTCGGTAAAGAGGGAAGGTTGAGTAAGAAGTATAGTCTGTTCCTGCCGAAGTCAGTTTGTAAATCTTCTCCGCTAATCATAAACAAGAAAATTAAGATTTTCAACACCAATGTTAAGTCAGTTACTTCTTCTTTATGAGTAAGATACTGGTGCGTTACAGAAACCATTTTGAAAAGGTTGCGGACTAGCATAAATAGCTACCTTGATAGTGAAGATCAGATTGCCCTCCATAAAGGATCGGCAACAAGAGACTGTGGTGATAAACCAATCAAAAACATATAACTCAAAAAATTCTACCGAAGAAAATGGAGGCAGGGCGGACATACACCATTGAAGAGACCGTCAAACGATATCGGGCTCCTGGCCCTTAATAGGAACCTAAATGGGAAATCACGAGTCCAGCGTGGCACAGGGGAAATCGTGTAAGCAGGAAACGAGAAATATGGGAAATCATGATACCAGATAAAGAGAACCACAGGGGTTAGGAAAAAGTGGAGACGTGCCGTTGGTTCCCTATGTTCCACTGGGAACCCGAAATGAGTAGTTGGAAGCTGAAGGAGACAAATGGTCGTCTGATATTCAGATCACTTCGATCTGGTTAGCGAGCACTACAGATTGTTCTAAATGGTGTCCAAATACTCACTTCATGCTTCCTTGATAGTCATTTACGGTATCAAGCAGATCTGAGCCATTTCGGTTACCAAAGTGAACTGTAGTGAAATATCACCGCTAACAGTAGAAATTACAAATAGAGAATTACATTTGGCATATTGCTGTACTGTTACTCCGAATTCAAGCGGTTTGAAATGATTGAGATCTTTGAGTTGAGTCCTACCGAACATACAGGTGATGAGCTCGCTCCCAAACGAGAGAAATGGCCATGAGGCGTTAAGAAAATATTTATAAGGAAGTTTACTGAGATTATATCCATTAAATAGCTTGTAGTGAATAACACTGAAAAGTGATATAAATTGGAGGTTCATGTACACTGTTATTATTGCTTTGGGTTCCAAGTGAAATTTAGGCTATCGGTAGAACATCTCAATTTCGTCCTGTTTTCTGTAGCCCTCTTCATCTGGCTGGACACACGATTACCTATAAGTCTTCATCTCCTCTTCACATAATCTCCCCCATGTTAACCGTAGACCTACACCCAACTCGTCACCTCTCATTCGGATTCCCCTCAAGTGACGGCCTGGTGCGTGAGGTTACCCGACCGTCTCCTCAATGGAGTGTTTTTATCTCTGGCCCAACTCTATTTTCTTCGGAATGTTGGTTGAGCCATAGATTTTGATTGGTTTCTTCGCATAGTTTCTTGTTGGTTATTCTTTGTGACTGGCTATGTGATATTCAGCATAGGGGCAAAGATATATGGGCAGCTGTTAATGCAAGCCTTCGGTAACTTGTTAAAAGTGGTTTTGGTGATGTGACAAGTTTCTGACTCACTTTTACTATGATACTTGATAATTACTGTAATTACATGTTTCTAAGGCTTTCTATGGTGTATTTTTCTAAATTACACAGAAGACACAATAATTGTTGTTCATAATCATGTCAAGTATAATCACACAACTTCAAAAGACTTTAGATCTATAGTTTTCTTTACTTCTTCGGACTCATGACAGAGGTAGTAGAATTTCCAAGATTTCCGAATGGACAGGTGTTGAATCATTTCTACGACATGTATTTGCAGTTGATTCGATAAACAAAGCTTCTGTTATCAATCTCTCCCTCCCCATTGCGGTTGTATTAGATTTTAAAACTGTCATCTTATCGCATTCTATTGTAGGGTTGTATCTGCAATTGCATGTAGAGAATGCTATAGCTGAACTATTCTATATATTTCTTATCTTATTCGGTAGACATACAAAGAAGGAAGCTTGGAAAACTTACGCCGGAGAATTCTTAACAAGGCAGGAATAAAAGTGACTGCCGGCATTCAAACCACCCACAAACTCAATTAGAAACAAGCTTTCTCGGTTAGAGGAACAATCCTATGGAGCCTTTAAAACAGAACAATCTAGTTAATGTAATACCCAGCCTGAGGTGATTGTCAGGTCAAATACATAGATCAAACTAGTAGAACATGGGTGGTCAGACTAGCCAAACATAAAAACCTAGCAAAATCTAGATTAGCTAGCCTGAATAAGATAAGTAATCTAGAGAATAGTTCAGCTTTACCACTCAATGCATACAATTACACACAACCATACAACAGGATGGATAGGATAGGATGACAGTTTTAAACTCTTTTGTAACAGGGTGAAGGCGGAGATTGATAACAGAAGCTTTGTTTATCGAATCAACTGCAAACACGTGTAGTAGGAATGATTCAACATTTCTCCATTCGGATATCTGGAAAGTTTCACTACCCCTTCAACGAAAAATGGGAGAGAATAAAGATGATTATAGAAATAAAGTTTTGAAGTTGTGTGATTATAATTGATACGATTATGAACAATAATTAATTGTGTTCGAAACGTCATCTAGTAAATAATGCTGTTTCTTCACTATGTGATATGTCTAACAAACAAGTTAATATGCAATTACATGTAACCACAATGCCTGAGTTTTACAGATAAATTAAAACACCAGAGGTAAATCTAAGAATATATACGGACTAGCTATGAAATGTCTTCTTAGCAATAAATCAAAGTCTAGATTAGTAGGGACTTTAGGGACTTCCATGTTTAACTGAATACGTCATCGGCGTCTTATTCTCAAAAGGCATCTGGTCAACGCTTTAGATAACGTCTGATGCGTCAAACCGATCCACTTCATACGAGATGTGGAACTATATTAATGAGTAACAATAGTGAAGTGAAAAGCAAAAATCTTAGTTCGCGAGATGTTTCGGTTTAATATTATTAGAAGCACCTTGAAGAGAGAGCATCAAGAATCTATATCCAATTGCACAGTGTCAAAATGAACCGCAGTCAAACGCCCGACCAAGGACAATATGGTGAAATACTTAGAATAAGTAAGGCTCCAAAGAATGTAGAACATAAAGGAGGGCTACACAGGAAGTACACTTCAGTTGTGGGATATGAAGTTATGTATGTCAAACAGAATGTTTACACAGTTAACAAGATGTAGTATCGTGGGAATGAACTATTACGGAAGATGTCGTAAAACGAGAGAATGAACTTACACTACTTTTCCATAACAAGTAGTATACTTTTGTCCACTAAAGGAAGCCACTGTGACTAGTGACTTGGAATTACTAGTAGTTCATAGCAGAAGTAGACTATCCTTGCAGATATTTAAGCCTACCTACCTGAGAAGCATCGTTTCAAATACAGGTGTACAGAATTGATGAGGATATCACAGCAGTCAGGATTGGGAAAGCAAGGCAAGCTTTCATTACTCTCAAGTCTGTGTGGAGGAGATTAACAGCTCTCAGCATCAAAAATAAGATCCGGATTTTCAACTCCAATGTGAAGTCAGTCAGTGCTACTTCATATACGGAGCAGAAACTTGGCGCCGCGCCACATTACGAAGGGCACTTAGAACAAACTACACACCTTCTTCAGCGACCACCTTCGCTCAACACTACTGAAGATCAGATGGCCAGAAAAGATCAGCACCAGTGATCTCTGGGAACGAACTAACCAACCCAGCGAGACCCGATTTTGCAACAAATATACAGGAAGAAAAGAGGATGGATTGGCTATACTTTGAGAAAATCATCAAGTGAGTGACATTACACACCAGGCCATCGGTCAAGTGGAAGCAGAGTGGGAAACGGAGAATTAGTTGGTCGTTAGTGTGAGGGTGACCTGGAGGAGGTCATGTGAACAGGATATGAAGGCATGTAAGCGGACGCGGAGTCAGGTAAAAATGTTGTCAGAGATTCGAATTCAATGGAGAGATGCCGCCAAAGTCCTATATTCCTTTAGGAACTAAAGGAGAAAATAATATGTAATAATAAATTTGTATTCTTTGAACTGATAATTTTGTTCCCCAGACATTTGATTGCTTTCACATTTGTATTGGATGAGTAAAGTTCAGCTTTAAAGTAACTAACATAAGTTATTTCTCAATTGGACTGCTTTGGAAATCGTATAAAATCGTAAGATCTATTATACTTTCTCCCTCAACTTCACAGATTTTCATAAATACCGGAATATTTGTAAACGATCCTTGAATAAAAACGTGTAGCTGCATGCTTCAGGCTATAGACAGCTAGAGGACAAGAATATGCTGCACCGATAAGAAGTCTGTAGAAGATCTGGACTCTGTGAGGGATCCATGTCTAGTGTCAGACTCGAAGACCTATGGAGGAAGACCAACATGTTTCAGAGGAAACAGCGAAGGCACCATTTGAAGTAAAATACAGATAAGACAGAGGGGATGAACATACTCACCGACCAGCAACAAGATTAACCACCAGTCACCATCAGTTGGAGGAATTTAAAGAAGGTGACGTCTCTCATTATCGTCTCAACTTCAGGCAGGTGACACGAATGAGGATTTCAAAATCTGAAAAGCAACGTAGATCTTCATCAATCTGAAGTCAGTGTGGAAATCTACTTCATTCAGCATAAAGAACAAGATTCAGATTTTCAACACTCTCGACTCTACCTCCAGAGCCTCCTACACAAATCGCATTGGCGGGTACAACTAGTGACATTCTAGGTTGTGCTCTAGAAGCCCATAGGCGAAGTGTGCACAGATAAACTAGTCTTGGGTAAGGCAGGACACTACATATCTGGACTGGTACAGGTAATCTGCAGCTTCCTTACCAGGTTATTGCTTGCAGCTCAAGAAAGACTTTATGTAGGTAGACGTACTACTATCAGGTCTGAAGCAATCATCCGAAATCCTCCAAATGTTTCCGAGCATATTAACTGGCTATAAGCCCTCAGAGATCTCTCAGAGGAGTGCATCATCAGTCAAAGCCAATATGATGTGCATATAATGATCCTATGGTAAGAAGCGGCTCATGACGCATTGATTGTGAAACTTCCATAGTTCATAATCACTGCTGTTATCCCACAGTGGGAGTCCTCGAACATGATGAGGGAGTCAGCAGTAGTCTCTGTCAGCGAGGGACATGCATTGACTTTAAATTTGTAGAATGTTTTAGATGTTAATGAGAATTTAATTAGTGGATAGTGACTAGCATTGGAATCCAGGATGAGCATTTCGTCCTATGTGGGATTCGTCACTCACTGGATGTACCTGCATTCCTCAGTGAGAGGTGATGCTCTCACTGAGGGTGGAACCCAGTGCCATAGTTTCAAACGCACAAGAGGTGGCTCCCGTGGCCCAAGGGGTCTAGTGAATAATTCTTTGGCGTTTGAAAATATGGGCACTGAGTTCGAGCCTCGGTGGGAACATAATCACTCACTGGAGAATGCAGGTGCATCCAGATGATGAGTCCCAAATGGGACGAAATGCTCATCCTGGATTCCACTGCTAGTTGCTATCCAACAATTAAACGCTAACTACATGCCCAGACATCGTTGAAGTATCTGTACAAGAAGCCGATACGTCAACCGAAGACTGTTATTGTTTCTTTTATTTCTAATTCCAGATTTGGTCGAAGAAGATGATCAGGAAACTTCGGGGAGAAAAAACTGAAACAAAACCAACTGAATTCCATTTGATTGTGAATGTATCGTTAATCTTGTGTGTAACACAAATTAAGTGACACACAGTAACACGCTTATACGCATTTATATACACATATGCCCACACACCGACACACACACACACTTAAGTTAACATACATTCGAATTGTTATAGAAATAACCATCTACGCATATTTATAATAAAAATAAATAAATTCGCATATAAGTGATAAGTTCACATCACACACACAATTGACTTCTGTATTCTTCAGGTTTGGCAGTCTTTGTGGGTTATTATTTTCTAACTCATGGAAAATTACCATTGTAACATATGGAAAATCAAAACAAGTGATTCCCCGAAGAGACTCTTTCAACGAATTTATCATCAAACTGTACAATCGTATATATATATATATGGTTTTTAAGAAGGAATATCCGGTGGGGGAACTGAATCATAGGTGTGAATGCATAAAATAACAATTTTTTCCTTCACGTTCCCCGTGGAATATGGGGCCTCAAGCTAGTGACTTGGGGTTTCTGTAGCAGTGTTTAATTTTACAGGATGAGGTTCCTACCCTTATGCCCAACCATTCCTCTTTACCAGCATTATTTCTGGCTTAGCAAGGTAAAGGAGAGTGTCGGCCGGAGAACCAAGCCCCGAACCATGTGCATGGTCGGCGAGTATCCTAACCACTGTGCCACCGACGCACATAGTATTATAATAATAGTATGAAATGCGATTAAAACTAAAATGTTTGTGATTATACTCATAGTTAAATGTCAAGTGGCAAAGCAAATTAACGTCATTATATATAATAATTCATAGGATGTATAGAACTTGAAAAAGGGTGTGCAATTATAGGATTAGTAGACAAATGGAATAAAATAAAAACGTTACGTAATATTGTGTGAAATTTGATAACAGAATTTAAAGTTGTAAAAAAAAATAATTGATTGAGAATGACAAGTGGAACAAGTGAATTAATACCGGGTACAGTCCAAAGTGAGAATAGTAATAATAACGACTGACGTAATAAAGGAAGAGAATACAAATTGAATAGACAAAATGAAAAAATGAAAAATTGGTAGAGCCAAAATATGATTGGGGACTACCATACTTTAGCGTAGAGGGATTAAGACCATGAAAGTTGGAGGGGTTGAACGAACTTTTTCTGTACACAGAGATCTGGCTTTTCTTTTTCAATAGCCAAGGCTTCAGCAATACAGATGAGTCGGATACGTAGCGATTTGGGTAAATTACTCTTTGCCTTGTAGATGACTTTAAAGACGGAGGTTATAAAGATAGGGTGATCATTATCGACCAGATGTTCAATGATCGCGCTTCTTATTGCTCAACTTCTACCTCTTCTTACCCAAGTAGGATAGTGTTCTTGCACCTTCTTGGAGAAAGCTCGAGTCGAACGACCGATATACCTAGCTCCACAAGAGTAGGTGAATTCACAAACGCACATACAGTTAGTCAACAGCGGGATCTTGTCCTTCACGTTAATGAACAGTAATGGCCGACTGGTAAAGGCTATTCTCAAAAATGCAGCAGGGAAAGTTCTTTTCAAATAGTGTGATATCCTTCGTTTCATGATATCGGAAGCTAAGTCCCCTTTGAATTCCAAGCTCATGCAGAGTATTTTCTTGGGTACGGATGATAAGTCACATTTCATAGGATTTGAATGTATATTCTTATCTATAAGAAGTGGTGGAAATCCACTTTCTAATAGGATTTTACTCAAAATATTTAACTCATCCGCCGCAGTATCAGGGCTACGTATGCGCCGAATGCGATTGACAAGCGACCGGACTACGTTCCGTTTTCGACCAATGGGTAAACAGCTGTAGAAATTTTTTAGTTGACCATTCCATGACAGCTTTCAATGAATCGATCTCTTTAGTGTTCCATTGGTCCTCCTTGATAAGTTCACATCGAGGAAATCAATACTAGACTCGCCGTCCTATAATTGCACACCCTTATTCAAGTTCTATCCATCCTATGAATTATTCTGCATATATAACATTAATTTGTTTTGCCACTTGACACTTGACTATGATTATAATCACAAATATTTTAGATTTAATTGCATTTCATTATTCTTTTATGCATTCGCACCTATGATTCAATTCCCTCACCGGATATAACTTCTTAAAAATCATATGTATACGGTTATTAAATTACCTCAAGATTCTTCACATGGTGCAAATACTATGCAATGAAACATGTTGAGTATTTCGTACCGTATAAAACTAGAGCTTTAAGAGCATAGCTAATATTATATTATGAAGCGTTATGTTACAAAAATACTTGGTTTGTTATTGGTAGTGCTAACCTACACACTTGAACAATATTGATATTTTTTAAATAATATCTAGTAAGTCACTTTAAAGTGGATTTCGACGGCTTCCACCATATTGTGTATAAAAAAAATGAACTTGTAATGCAAAATTTAGCTGGGTCAAAATACGGTAAATAACTCTGAGTGCTTCGTGTTGATTATCTTCAGAGGTGAATTAGAATAGAGATGCAAATGGACCTTTTCTATCCCTTGCTTAACCATGCAAGATGATGTTTGGAAATCGGATGATAAACATGCTTAATTGACATGCCCAATGCATCTGTTTCTATAGAAGCAGTCAAAATGATAGAAAAACACATAGTGGAGGTAAAATTAGGCAGTTTATTCCCTAATTCAGAAGGAGCGTTTTAAGTGAATACAGGATTCAGATAAAAGCTGCCTATTATCACCGATGATACTTATGTGGTGAGAGCTGGCTGAAAGCCAAAATTGTAGACAACAATTTACGTCAATGTTCACGTCACGAATCAGGATCATGAGAAAAACGATAAGAAAGCTTAACCTTAAGAAAATCACCACCACCAATCACAGAGGAGTTAATGTGTGGAAATATGATTCGTAGGTATGTGGTTTGATTTTATGAAAAAATGGCCACCATAAGATAACAGAATAATCTCTAGCAAGAAAACACCACTAATAATAATGTACATAAAAATCTATGAATATCTCTTGATTTTCTCAATAAATAATCTGTTGCCTGGCCCTTGTCCTCTGTAGTTACACTCCTAGTTGTAATGGACTGGAGAGAGAGAGAAGACAGGAATACTCTGAACAGATAAGAATACTCTAGAAGATCTGGTTTTCACGCCTGGATGATTTGTGTTTAGTATCACACAAATTTGAAGGCTTAAAGATGCAAACCAACGAACTGGCTGAAGATGCTGGCAGCGAAGACAAGATTTCAAGTGGAGATAGAGAAGACAAAAGTGATGAAGATAACCGACCAACTAACCAACAGCAAAACTACAACCAAAACCAATCACTATCAACGGAAAGAAATTGAAAGAGGTATCTCCTTTCACCTATCTATGTGGAATCGTTTAAACTTCGTATGGAATGTTTAAAAGTGTCAAAGTCAGAATAGGAAAGGCAAGATATGCGTTCATTAACCTGAAACCAGTTTGGAAATCTTCTGCACTCAGCAGAAGAATAAAATTCGCATTTTCAACCCCTGTATCTGGTCAGTCGCTTCCTCTACACGGATGAGAAACTTGTACTGCTCTTGCGTCACGAAAAGAATTTGGAACAAGCTACTGCAAACTTTAATCAACGACTACCAACGTTCTCTGGCCCCATATTGGAGATTAGATGACTGACCAATAAGAGATAGCAGAGAGAAACTCTGGAAATGAACCGACCATGAACCTACCGCTTAACAAGTATTCTGAAGAAAATCGAGGTGGATTGGACATATGCCACTGAGGATACCGTCGGATGACGTCGCATGCCAGATCAACGAGCGAGTGAAACCCGAATGTGGAAAGACGAATTGGGTGTCGGTTCGACAGCGACATTGAGGGGATTGTGCGATAAGGAGATGAGAAACTATGGTTAATAGCGAGACCAGCTAAAGAATACCGCAGAGAATAGGACAAAGTGAAGACGTGTTTTTGAATCCGTTTGTCCCACTAGGAATCCAAGGGAAGAATAATACATTGATAAAAAATACTAACTCTCGAGCATAAAACAGTAGGGGTCCTTAAAGAGACTGAAATTCAGAGGCACTGAATGCTCTTTTTACTGTATTCATCAAGCTCTGCGTTATCATATCACTGACGTTATTATCAACAAAATGAAGTCTTAGGAATAAGGTCTTTTGAACTGCAGGTGCATTAGCTGTGCATCGGTGGCACAGTGGTTACGACTCTCGCCGATATCAATGGTCGGCCTGAATAGTTGGGCTATCGATATCACATTCAGAAATTCCATACTTGTACCAAAAATACGGTGTGGAGTCAAGCAATAATCGATAAAAAGCGAGATTTAGATTCATATTCTTCTCAATGAATTTTTCTAGATAACCACTTTCACTCAGTAACAGTTTCGCAACTAAGCATTCATTAGAGCACATTTTTCGTGCTATGTGGGCCACACACTTTATGAAATTCCTTTAACATTTTAAAGGCGCGAAAATCAAAAAGTAGGTTTACTGATCAGTCCATGTAGGTATTCTATGTGTGCACTCTTTCCTATTCCACTGTCATTAATTTTAAAAAACAGTGCCTATAATGTTTCTTATTTCATTGTGGGACGGGCATGATATATGTCTGAATTCCCCAAAACTGGAAGATGCAAATGAAAAGCAACAAGTTGGCAGATGAAGCATCAAAAATAGCAAGGACTTCAGGTGAACATAAAGGAAACAAAGGTGGGTGATGAATATTCCTGCCCAACACCAACAGCAGCAACAACAGACAACAATCAGCCAGCATAAATGGGAGAAATCTGAAAGAAGCAATCTCTTTCACCTACCTACCCACCTGGAAAGCATCGTTTCAACTACAGGCGAAAGAAACTGGTGAGGATATCAAAGCAGCGAGGATCGGGAAAGCCAGGCAAGCTTTCATTATTCTCAAGTCTGTGTGGAGGAGATAAACAGCACTCAGCATGAAAAAT